TGACAATAAGTAAAAGAAATGTGAACCACTTCCCAACCTTTGACTACTCTTTCAAAGCCCCACGGCTGAAAGAGAGGGATTTACAAATTTGAGTCAAACACAATCTGACATCAGCCTGACACATAGTGTGCTCCTCTATTGTGCTTTGACAATGTCCTACAGGTGGGGGGACAGTGGCCGGCCACCTGACATCCTATGGCATGAGGAGTGTGTGTCTGAATATGTGAGTGACTGGAGGTGTTTGTCTGTGAGGCACACATGAGACAGTAAAAAGGAGAATTAATCGAAGCTATCTAGCCACCGGGGCTGGGTACTGAGCCTACGGTAAACACGTTTTAGACAAGTGAAATGTGTTTAGTATCACAAACAAGGATCAAATGTCTGGTCAGATACTTAATCCTGAGCCATTTAGTTTCTGATTCTGAGCACAGTTCCTTGAGGTTACAAAACACACAATATCTAAGAACATTGGTGTCTTTTACTTTAGAAGGATTCTATAGGGAAAAAACCCCATTAGCCATAAAGTTCTAAAGTAAGGTACTGAAAAAAATACTGCTTGGCATTTGTGCCAGAACTCAAGCATCAATTTGGTCGAAGCATCAAAGAACACCCAACTAGCCAGTTTCAAAGTTGGCTAAAAAGTGACTCAAACTAATTACCATTTTCAGCATTGCTTATTCTTTCCCTTAAATTAAAAGTGATCTTTTAGTGTCTAAAATGAAAAAACAAAAATGTTATCTAACAAACAGTCCATAGCCAAGAGGTGAAAAGAAAACTTGCAGATCTTTATCTCTGAGAAGATGGGGCAAGTAATTAGTCAGCGACAGAAGACAGACCGATTATTGTTTTAGTATGACCGCCTCCTATCGTTCGTTATTTTGCATTGTACCAAACTTGTCCTTACTTTAAATCTGTCAAATATCCACAACTGTAAATGAAGTGATTTTGTCCATAACATCGCATTGTGTGTCCTGTACTGTATTTTTAATGCAAATGTGTCATATTGTCATTGTATATATAACAGGTTCTTCTGCCTGAACAAAAACCCAGCTGTTTAAACTAATTGATAGGTTATTTCAGTATTTTATTGTGTATATGTTCTTACTGTGATGTGCAAGAGGACTGCAGATATAATATCAGACTAAATAAATAATAAGGATAATCACCTTTATTTGGCCAAGTATGTTACACACAAGGAATTTGTTTCCGGTACAGAACCGAGGCAGCCATCTGCGGAGCCAACTCATCCGACGGCTCTAACCATCGGGGGCAACTTGGGGGTTCAGTGTCTTGCCCAAGGACACTTCGACATGTGGACTGGAGGCACCAAGATTCAAACCTCCAACCCTCCGGTTGGGAGATGACTGCTCTACCCGCTGAACCACAGTAGGATGAAAAAGTAAAGGCGTCGTAGTGGGGAAGGCAGGTCCACTGTCTCCACTACATTAGAGAATAGGTTTAATCAAACAAAGCTTTTTTGAATAAAACAGGCTATCCCATTGTAACACATGAACCCTCTCAAAGAAACACACACAACAAACCTGTCTGCGGGCCCCCGAGGCCCCCTCCACCTCTGCCCACACCGACTCCTCCTGGCCCCAGTCCCTGGGAAGAATCCTGCAGTGTCAGGGAGCTGTGCAGGTGCCTTGCGGTGTCAGCTGCCATACTGTTTACTACTGGTGGGCTGTGCTTTAGGAGGAATCCCAGGCCTTCACTAACAACTGTGTAAATTTGTTGGGGTAATCAAAACATGGCTTGTACTACCAGAATGTTTTTAGGTGGGAGCCCTCGTTCTGCCAGGAGTTCGCCTTCTTCCCTTCCTGCACTGTAAAAAAAAAAAAAAGCTGAGAAAACACAAATTATCAAGGCAACATGATGCAATAGATTTTTGAGTTTTCTCAACTTTTGACTACTTTAGTTGACTTTCCTAAGCATTACAAGTTTAGACAACAAATCTTCTTGTTCACCTAATCATATTTCTGTGAGGGTAACAATTAAATTCTTGTTTCAATGCATTTCTACTACCTAAAGTCAACAA